AATACAGCGGGTTTTTTTTTTTATGAGCAGTGTCTTGAAACGGCTCTACCTGGCAGCTATTGAAAGTAGAAAATGTATGCTGCATACGCAGTAAGTCTGATCAGGCGGGAAGCTGCAGAGCTATGGTGGTGTGATTCCAAAGGTGAAAGGCAGAGGTCCCACGTTGTTTGTGGTGGCGTCACAATGTGACCGCCGGCCGGAGCATCTTAGAAAAGAAGGACTAGTTGTTTGGTGACTTCTGCGCACTGTGCGCTTCAGCATGCGCTGACCCCGCTCTGTTATTTTACGTGGCCGACCACTTCCTGGCTGAGTTGCTGTTGTTCCCAGTTGCTTCCACTTTGTTATAATACCACTAACAGGTGACAGCGGAATATTTAGTAGTCAGGAAATGTCACGCATTGACTTACTGCACAGGTGACAACCTATCACGGTACCACGCTTGTAGTCACTGAGCTCCTGAGAGAGACCCATTCTTCCACAAATGTTTGTAGAAGCGTCTGCATGCCGAGGTACCTCATCCTATACACCATGGGGGCCATGGAGGTGATTGGAACACCTGAATCCAATGATTTGGATGGGTGTCCCAATACTTTTGGCAATATAGTGTATGATTGTGGACGCCACCCAGAGTGAGGAATAGGGTAAGTATGTATTACAGCGTATTCCTTTACCCCCAGACTTAATGAGCATTTTTTTTTTCCTTGTTCAGGCACTTCGTGTTATAGGGTGACAACGCTCTGCCCCTGTCTCTCAATTGCTCTCTCTTTTACTCTAATTAGCAGTATAATAGTGATTTTATGATTCAGCAATGTCCTAAGGATTACCGTTCTGCTTTGTCCCCCAGGCCTGCGTTGACGTGAGGGCCAGCTCCGTGTTCTGGAGACAGATGGTAGTGATGGAAAACACGGTAGGCGAACTTCGTATCCCGGAATGGCTTTCCACCCACCCATCACATGAGAATCGAGCAGAATATCTGGACCGGCTTGTACCAACGGTGAGCAAAATGGCTAAATGCAAATTAAAAGACGCTGTATGGTCAAAAGTATGTGGACCCCCCCTCTAAATTATTGAGTTCAGGTACACAGTGCCAACATGGTATGATGAGTTTGATGAGGAGGAACTCGAGTGTCCTTCACAGAGCCTGACCTCAACCTTACCGAACACCTTTGTGATGAATTGGAACACCGATTGCGGGCCAGGTCTTCTCATCCAACATCAACAACCTGATCTCACAGATGCTATTTTGGCTGAATGGGCACAAATAGCCATAGTCACCCTTCAAAGTCTTGTGGAAGGCATTCCTAGAAGAGTGGAGGCAGTTATAGCTGCAATACAGGGGTAACTCCATATATAATGCCCATGGTTTTGGAATGGAATGTCCTACAAGCCCATATAGGTATGATGGTCAGGTGCTCACAAATGTATCTTATTACATAACCTATTTTAGACCCAGTAATGTCATCATTGGGTCCCTATACATCTTTATGCCCCGTGGGCAGATCATGGCTGGTGGGAGGGGCCAGCAGGGTGCTGTACATAGCTTCCTAAACATCACAGCACCCTGCCTCAGTTCTTCTCCCAGGAGCTCTCAGCCTTGATCTAAGCAGTGGGCTGGCTTTTGGAAGGAGTTGTGCAAATATCAAAATGCCTTGATGGGTGGCTATCAGTCTGCACACAGTCTGTGTGCATGGAGCCACAATTTGCAGAGTCGTCCCTAATGAGGCAGCCAGAGGCTTTTGCCTCTGACGGCATCTCTTTGGGTCATGTGGGGGGGGGTCGGCCGGAATGGCCCCTGTCCTGCAAAATACTTGCATTGTGCCTGCTATCCGCTTTCCGGCCAGAACGATCCAGGTTGCAGAGAGCCAGGGGGAAAATGTGTAAGGACCATACACATCTCCCTGCCCAGCTCCTAGCAACCTGGTTTGCTCTGGCTGGTGTCTCCTTCAGCTCCTGGCAACCAGTGACGTTACTGGTTGCCAAGGAGATGAGTGGGATGCTCTGGCCAGCGTCCCATCCCAGCTCCTGGCAACCAGTGACATTACTGGTTGCCAAGGAGATGAGTGGGATGCTCTGGCCAGCGTCCCATCCCAGCTCCTGGCAACCAGTGACATTACTGGTTGCCAAGGAGATGAGTGGGATGCTCTGGCCAGCGTCCCATCCCAGTATAATGCTTGATGTGTCTAGGGCAGGGGTAGCAAACCTCCAGCCCTCCAGCTGTGGTAAAACTACAAATTCCATGATGCATCTCTCTTAAAGTGACATTAAGCCCTCAGATTTTTTTACATAAAACAATACTGTAATGTGCGCTTTACTGTAATCCATGGTTGTTCCCCTTCTCTTTGCTGCTCTTCCTTTTAAATCCTCATGTCTTCTCATGCTTGGGGAGAACTTCCCTTTGCAGCTCAGGGCCTCTTCCTGTAGTGCTGGCTCAGGTTGTGAACCTGCACACAGACACCGTGTATCCATTCCTGAGACAAGGCAGTCTGCTGCAAAACAGAAGTTCTGCCCAGCATGAGAACAGATACAGATTTAAAAGGAAGAGCAGCAAAGAGAAGGGAAACTACCATGGATTACAGTAAGGTGCACATTACAGTATTGGTTTATGTTAAAAAATCTGAGGGTTTAATGTCACTTTAAGGAGTCATGTATGTGGCTGTGAGAATCTTGCAATGCCTCATGGGATCTGTAGTTCCACCACAGCTGGAGGGCCGGAGGTTTGCTACCCCTGGTCTAGGGAGATCCTCCAGTTCCAGTTGTGACAACCTGTCCCCCGAAGCCTTCCTTGACCGGTCGTGTCGCCGCCCCTCTCGTTGACATCATCACATACAATGCCATACAATTCAAGAAGCAATCTTTGCTCCTCAAATATATATATTTTTTGGTCAGCTAAGCAAACGGTCTGATAATAACACACAGACATCTCGTTCCTCTGAGTGGTTTTCCTTGTGGCTGAAGCGAGTAATGTTTGTGAATACAGATATAATTGGGCGTACATGTGGATCCGCTTCAGTTGACCTGACTCAGCCCGCACTCTTGTAACGTGCACCCGCATGTAAATATATTGCTTGCAGATGCCGCTAATCTCAATGGCTGCAGACCGTCACGCCGTCCTTCCGCTCGCTGAGCTTAAACGTGCGCCAATATTCACGCTCCGCTGTTAACATTTAAAAGATTCCGAGACGAATTTTCAATACCGGCTATTAGGAGTCGGAGCTCTTAAAGGACAACCTCAGGCAAGTATGGGAGAACTCCCTTTCACAATCATCATGAAAGCAATATTTCAATGCAGCCAATGTTATCTACTGAATCCTGCCTTTACTAGGAGCCTTAATTGTAGTCCATTCAAAAAACAAACCAGGCAGGGGGCGGGGCAGTGACACAGAACCTATATAACTGTGGACACAAAGAATTATCACCTGCTGTATGCCATGCAAAAATGTAGCACAGCAAAAAGTGAGAGGAAAATACAATTATGTTTAATAATTGGACTTATTATTATTATTATTATTATTATACAGGATTTATATAGCGCCAATAGTTTGTGCAGCACTTTACAATATAAGGAAGACATTACAATTCAAGACAAGATAGTAAGGAGGGCCCCGCCCCTGAGGACTTGCAATCTAAAAGGGAGGGGCCAGTGATACATGAGGAGGGATCTGCGCAGGGATGATTGTTTGAGAAAGTGATTGTTCAGTGGTTAGGGTGAGGTGAGATAGGCTTCCCTGAAGAGATGAGTCTTAAGGCAGTCAGTGTGGGAGATAGATGGACAGGTTGGGGTAGAGAGTTCCATAGGATGGGAGACACTCTAGTGAAGTCCTGGAGGCGAGCATGGGAGGAGTTGATGAGGGAGCTGGAAAGCAGGAGGTCTTGTGAAGAGCGGAGGGGACGCTTAGGGTGATACTTTGAGACAAGGTTGGAGATATAGCCGGGGGCGGAGTTGTGGATGGCTTTGTGCACGGTTGTTAATATTTTGAATTTTATCCTTTGGGCTATAGGAAGCCAGTGTAGGGATTGACAGAGGGGGGGTTGCAGAGACTGAGCGGTTAGTTAGGTGAATGAGTCTCAGCAGCTCAGCTCTGACTGATTTTTGACAAAAAAAATAGTGCAAGCTGCCTTGTGCTTCCTCTTCTTTATACAAACTCTATTTATCGTTCTACTTTCCAATTTGCAGGAGTTCCAATGAGCTCAGTCTGCAATTCTTGTAATCTGGAGTTGCCCCCTCCCTGCAGTACTTCCATTCCACCACAAGAGGCCCTCAGTCTTCTTCTTGGCATCATTCGACCTGGAAAACAGAAGACATGCAATGAATGACTGGATGTCATGGCCACGCCCCTTAACCACCCCACCCTTTATAGTATATTCATGCAGAGAACAGCGCTGATCACCACTCTCTGAATTTTCGGGGTCTGACACCCACTGCTGAGAAGATCGGGGGCAAAAAAGGAGCATGGGCGACCGGCCAGGAGACTTTGAAAAAATGTAAGTATACTAGATTAAAAAATATATAGAGAGCAAGGGAAGCCTCTGAGGGAGAGGGGGCCACCCGTGTGAGGTCTCGGAGCCCAGAGAGAGTTGGGATTTAAAAAATATTAAATAACTCCGCCGCCTAAAGGGGATGTAAACCCATTTTTTTTTTTTTTAAATGCTGACCGGTAGACTTTATATGACAGAATAGACTGTGTATGTCTCTTCTGTCATCAGTGCTTCTCCCTGCCTGTCGGTGCTTTTTTTTTTTTCCACTGAGCTGCGGATGCGCAGTTGTGTCGACCCCGTCAATCAAGATGGCTGAAGACTGAACCTGGAAGACGGCCGGGTAAACATGGAAACATCAGCGATGAGGGGAAATCCGGACTTGCTAGTTAAGGGTGCCATAATGTGCAAAAAGCTCCCGGGGGCCCAAATGTTTTTTTTGTTTTACTTCCACTTTAAGCATGTCATGGCTGTCGATGGAGGGGGCGCATCCACGGACCTAGCATGCTTCCCAGTAACTCCCAATCACCCTAAAGCGGGGCAGGCAGAGACAACAAATAATTCTGTGCATCTGATTTTAGGAGCTTACACTGAGGTAACTTCTTTCTCTTCCTGGTCAGGTGACAGTATTCGGACTTGGGGATTGGTCACTCAGGGTCCAAGTACTGCATTCTGGGAACATGCGATCAAAATCATGTGGTACCCCCCTCATAGTTCTCCTTTTAAAAAAGCATTTGGACGATTTCCTCAGAGACCGTAACATACACCTTGTACAGGTACTCTTAAGAACAAGATCACACGGGGACTCCTACACACCATACACATGCAGAACCACATGCATACACACAAAGGTTGAACTTGAAGGACCTGTGTCTTTATTCAACCTCAAATACTATGTAACTATGTAAAATAGTAGGAATCTTTTGGGTATTTACTGATGGGGCAGGGATAAGAGAACCTGTCACTTAGCCCTGAATAGTCCAAATGACAGATGCTCTTTGACAGCCAATCACATTTCAGCTCTGACTTGTAATAGAGGTGGTAAAAGCAAACATCTGTTGCTCTCCGAAACGCCTCTGTTGCCTCTTCCACCGGCTTTGTGTAAACGAGCCGCGCACTACTGCCAGTTCTTGGTTGGATGCCAAATGAAATCTCTTTTTTGTCTTCTACTTCATCTAACCTTTATGTCTCGTGCCCTCCCTTCTCATTTCCCATCATGCTTGTGTCACATCAATCACATCTCGCAGCGGCCCCTTGGAAAAAAACCCACTGCTGGCTTTTTTCCTGTATCCCCCCCTCCGAGTCTTGATGAAAACCTTTTAATCCTGTCTTTTCGGAGCCGTGCATCTTTCATGTCTCGTAGCGGTAGGCAGGGCTGCCAGCTCGGTTGTCTTGGTATTCGTTAAACATAGACCGGTCTCTTGGCAACCCAAAAGTTCCCAAAATAGTTGTCGGAGAGACGTTTTCAGGGGTCGCTTCCGTCTCTGAATTCGGGATTCAAACGGCGGGGTGTAACGCGTT